TGGGACCTTTCATTCAGTGGCTGAGCCCATGTGGGCGCCACGAGTCTGCAGACTGTGGCGTCTGCATCTCTGCTGAAGGGCAGCATTGAGCTCACACAGGGCTGTTTGACTCGTCCACGTGTCAGACGGGTCTCACACTGCACGTCCTCAAACACTCATTAAATAAACGATGAGTGTTTGTGTTGCTGCTCGTGTCTCTGAGTCTTTGTGGTGCACCGCGGGGAGTCTGGTGTTGACGGCGAGCGTCCGACGGCTCTTTTTGTTTCTCATTAGTGACTTCTGTCCTTACTCTTTCACACGCCTCGTGGTCGGTGTCTGTACTGGGACCAGTTAGCTGCACTGTACAGTTTTCTGCTTTCATAACTGAGCAGTGTCCATGCTATAGACCCCCACTCCTCGCTGTGTTAGTGACCGCTGCACACTGCCAGTGAAGAACGAGTGAACTGTGTGACAGCACAAAATAAGTCCCAGAGCATAACACGAGACGATGAATCGTAGAGTACTTCTGTTAAATACGTTACATGTACTGAGCAGAGCCTTCGACATCACCATGAATAACGAGGGATTTCTAACCTGCCTTCCAGCCTGAGCGATGAGGAAATGAAGCAACAATCAAACTGAAATACAGACCATAATATCTTCCCACAGCTGTAGTCTGTGTCATACCTCCACTAGGATGAGCTTGTTGTGCGTGACTCCTCCATCTCCTGCCATCTTCAGGCAGCTGTATTTGTTGGCTCTGAGCAGGAAATCCTGGAACTGTGACGACTGCGAGCTGCAGGAGAAGCCGTTCATTCGCCACTCTGGTAAAAGTTCAGAGCATCAGAGACGAGAAGCAGAAGTCTGTGTGCTACAGTGTAGGATGGTTACAAGAACACAACACTGTCACTCTGCCCCCTCACCCTCCAGCTCTACATGTTTGGTTACCTGAGGAGTAATCACCTCCACACATGAGAACACAGACTCTGCATGCTGGACTTTTGATGTGCTATCTGGTTAACATTTCTAGACTTCCTGATGAGCAGCAGTTTGCTCAGTGCAGATAAACTTCGCACTCCATCTGCAACATCTCACATTTGCCAAAATGTCCTAATTTAGCACAAGTGAGGAAATAAGGAGATTTGTCTTTATCAGTTACTTTGTTGTTGTGATGCTTCTTGTATGAATCTGATGCAGCTGGAAAGCCTGTTTATGTCGCTTTAAACGGTGCCGATGGCATCATAAGGAACATGGAGAAGTTTCCAACCAGCTCATCCTGCTACTGACTTTTGTTTAGTGCAGTTTATTGGTCTGAAGAAACGAGGCACATCAACAACTGACAATTTATTAAACACACAGGCAGCAGTGGAGGAACCACGCACAGCTACAGCAGCTGGGAGCTGCCCCTGTGCTGGTCACGCTGCTACACTCCATGCTCACAGCTGCTGTTACTCAGCAATCCTGGGGCAGAAGAAGCTGATTGGCTGACAGAAGATTTGGCAAATACAACATTGGAGCCCACAGATGTATTTTCCTAACAAACGAGGCCCCGTGTACGGGCCGATAAACAGGCTTTCACAGCAATAACACACCAAACATTTCTCTCTTCGTTGTTCCAGTTCAGACAGAAACTGATTATCCTGTTAAATGAATTTGCATTAGTAAGCACAGGTGAGGGCAGAATTTCTACAGGTAACATCTTCATGCTGATGACTGTCCCACTGACACATGTGAGGACAGATGTTTCCTCACCATGACTGCTGCTGTACGCTTCTATGTTTGTGGGACTGATCCACTCCTGAA